TTTAAATGGAAAGGAGAATGGAAAACAATACGAGATAAGTTATTTTGAATTCGTTGGAGTTTTTTAATATTTTTTTGATAAGTGCCAGATAAAATGCTGTTACAATAGTCAAGCTGAGAGTTAACGATGCCACAAGCAATTATGTTTGCAGCTTCTTTGGTCAGACATGGACGAATATGGCGAAGTGCACGAATGTGGTAATTGCAGGATTTAATAATATTGTTTATGTGGTTGTCCATAGAGAGCTTTGAATCTAGGATGACTCCAAGGATTTTTACTGAATTTATTGTAGTTATTGTGGTTCCAGAAAACGCAATATTCAAATCATTTTTATATTTGCTAGTTTGTTTTCTAGATCCAAATAAGATAGCTTCTGTTTTATTTGGATTAAGCAGAAGTCCATTTTCTAGAAACCATGTTGTAACTGCATTAGCACACTCAGTGATTTTGCTGATGCTATCTTTGCCAGGGCTGAGGAAAGTATAAAGTTGGGTATCATCAGCATATTGATGATGATTTGTACCAAATTTAGCTATAATACGATATATAGGTGAAACAAAAATGGAAAATAGAAATGGGCCTAATACACTACCCTGTGGTACTCCTGTTGAACTTGCTATTAGTCTAGAATTTGATGATCCAATAGAAACAAAAGATTTTCGAGAGTGCAAGTATGATGTTAGCCATTTTAATGCAATATCTGTGACACCAAAATCATTCTTAATACGGGTAATCAGCAGGCTGTGATCAATTGTATCAAATGCTGAAGATATGTCCAGAGATAGGAGAATAGTGGTCAAACCATCATCAATGTTTAGCAGGATGTCATTGCATATCTTTAAGAGTGCTGTTTCGGTTGAGTGATAAGATCTAAAACCAGATTGTAGAGGATTGAAGTTGACAGATGATGTTACATGTGGACGAAGACGAGATAAAGCAAGCTTTTCAAGAATTTTTGAAATTGTATTGAGATTTGATATGGGGCGTAGATTTGTTAGGTCAAATTCTGCTAGTCCTGATTTTTTGGGAATTGGCGTTATTTGAGCAACTTTATATGAGGTTGGGAAAATTCCAGATTTGAATGAGAGGTCAGCAAGGTGAGCTATAATTGGACTGAATATTTCTGAACAAGATTTAAGGATGTTTGTTGGAATAATATCAAGTGGCGATGTCTTAGATTTGAGAGTTTTGATTATTTTCGACACATCTTTAGGTGTGACTGTACCAAATGTGGTTAAAATATCTACAGGGGGAGATAACTCTGAGATAAATTTAGATATTGAAGTTTTTGCAAGCCTTTCCTGAATAGTGTTCTTTATAATTTCGAGTTTGCGTATGAAATATTGACTTATTATATCGCATTTTGCTTCTGGTATTGTGTTATTAGTTTTAGAACTATTCGAATGTAGTAATTTCTTGGCAATGTTCCATGTTTCTTTTTGATCACCGTATGCTGAATTTAGTTTCGCCCTATAATGACTACATCTGGATTCGTGAATTGCTGCTGCAGTCTCACGGCATGCAGTTCGATATAATTTTTTATCTGATAAACTACCAGTTTTTCTATAACAACGTTCCAGTTTACGACGCCTGATTTTTTTATTCTTGGCATCTGAAGATAACCATTGATCATCGTGTTTACCAATTCGCATTGAATATTTTCGAATGGGTGCTAAATGATCAAGAACAGTTGTTATATTTGATCTTATTTGTTCAGCATAATCATCCACATTGTTTTCAGGTGATAAGCAACATGGCATCACTTGCAATTTTTTTATAAAGCATGACAAGTTTAGTTTTCTAAAGTTTCGTTTTGAAAACCAAACAGTTTTAGTATTTGAAGGTTGATGATAAAGTTCTACCCGAATCATATAGTGATCTGAAATACCCTCGTCAGTTACTTGGATACTCTTGAGTGAAATATCATCATGTCGATTTATTACAAGATCAAGCAAGTTGGCTATACCAGTAGTAGATGATATGCGAGTTGGAGATTGAACTCGTTGTATCATGTTGTAGGTCTCTAAAATCTCATTAAGTTTTGAATTGCAGGTTATGGGAGTAGTACCTGGACAGTTAAAGTCACCACACAAAAGTATTTCTCCAGATAATGTTTGAAGTTCCTCTAGGAGTTCAGATAATTCGAAAAAGAAAATGTTTGTTGGAATGATTGGATTTGATCGATAAATAGCAACAATATTGTAGATAGTATTTGCCAGGTTTAGTTTAGCTGATGTACGTTCATAAGACAGACAGGTAGATGATAATGAGAGTGGCTTGATATTCAAGTTGTCTCTATAGACTATTGCAACGCCTCCTCCACGATGGTCTGATCGGCAGTATTGAATTGTTTTAAAGCCTGGTGGGGCCATATCTTCTTTAATTGCGGTAGGGTCGTCTGACTTTATCCAAGTTTCAGTGAGTATAAAAATATCTAGAGAATGATTTTGCACTATATATATATATATATATATATATATATATTTTGCACTATATATATATATATATATATATACATATATATATATATATATATATACATATATATATATATATATATATATATATATATATATATATATATATATATATATATATATATATATATATATATATATATATATATATATATATATATATATATATATATATACAGGGGTCGAAATAAGTGCCGGACATCGCCGCCTCTCAGACCATTTTTGAGACCTACCAAAAGGGCAACCAACCATTGTCATTTGAGACCTACCATGAGGGCAACCAACCATTGTCATTTTTACTGCAAAAATGAACAATGGTTTGTTGCCCTTATCTAGCAGGTCTCAAAAATGGTCTGAGGGGCGGCGATGTCTGGCACTTATTTCGACCCCTGATATATATATATATATATATACATATATATATATATATATATACACACACATATATATATATATATATATATATATATATATATATATATATATATATATATATATATAAATATATATATATATATATACCACTACAGCATATAAAATCTCTCTCTCTCTCTCTGTATATATATATATATATATATATATATATATATATATATATATATATATATATATATATATATATAGGGGAGAGAGAGAGAGAAAGAGAGAGAGAGAATATATATATATATATATATACATATATGTATATATGTATATATATGTATATGCATGCATGTGTGTATATATATATATATATATATATATATATATATTTATATATATATATATATATATATATATATATATATATATATATATATATATATATATATATATATATATATATATATATATATATATATATATATATATATATATATATTAGGGCTGTTCAGTATGCTAATTTGTTTTCAGAACATAGCTAATTGAAGTTTTTCCCATTCAACTATCATATTGTGGTTCAAAAATATTTTTTACTAAATTTTATTATTTGCCCTAAAGGTCCCTCAAAGCCACTAAACATTTGACAGGTCCTAAATATTATTAAAAAAAAAATTATTTAAAAATATGTTAACTTGGTACTCAAAAGAAGCAAAATTTTATAAAAATTTTAAAAATTAGATTTATTTTTTATAAAAAACAACTTAAAAAAACTTATTATTAAAAATGTTGTGAATATTACCTTTTTTTCATTTTTCGTTTAAAAAACCATAGTTTTTATTCAAAAAAACCTAAAATTGTTATTTTTATAAAAAATACTTTTTGTTTTTGAAATTTTTAAATGATTTTGCTTCTTTTTGAGTACCAAGTTGACATATTTTTAAATAATTTTTTTTTCAATAATATTAGGGGCCTGTCAAATGTTTAGGGGCTTTGAGGGACCTTCAGGGCAAATAATAAAATTTAGTAAAAAATATTTTTGAACCACAATATGATAGTTAAATGGGAAAAACTTCAATTAGCTATGTTCTAAAAACAAATTAGCATACTGAACAGCCCTAATATATATATATATATATATATATATATATATATATATATATATATATATATATATATATATATATATATGTGTGTGTATATATATATATATGTGTGTATATATATATATATATATATATATATATATATATATATATATATATATATATATATATATATATATATATATATATATATATATATATATATATATATATATATATATATATAACTTTAAATCAACATGATAATAAAGTCTTTTTTGTTATTATATTGATATCATATTGTCATAAAGTTTTAAATGTAACTTTTATTAATGATTAAAATATATTACATTATTTATTGATAAAATTGTTTACCTAAATTTTAACTGTCATTTTATAATATTTATTTTTCTTATAATTTAATATATAATATTAACAATCTTCAAATACTATAAGTTTAAATCTTCAAATACTATAAGTTTTTTGATAAAACATTTGTGGAGGACCCTAAATATTAAACTTTTTTTTTGATGAAATATTTGTGGAGGAAGTTAAAAACTAAACTTTTATTTTTAATAAAATATTTGTGTTGTTGACATTAAATATTAAATATATTTTTATTAAAGTCATTGAGGTTTTTTATTAAGACAACAAAAATGCAAAACCTGTGTTTAGTTAAGATGGATGATGATAAATGAATTTAGTATGTAAGTAGATGTGAATTTATTATTTGATGACAAAGTTTCCGAAACATCCGATAAATAAATGCTGTTAAAATAAATAAAAGATAATCAATGATTACATATTGAGTTGTATAAAAATAACACAAATTGTTTGGTATTAAAAACAGTAAAAAATTTTTTATTAAATTTAGGTTGCAAATTACAGAAGAGTAGAGGATAAAGAAAAATATAACTTTATTATTAATAATAATATAATCTTTGGTATAAATAAACCCCAAAGTAAGAATTTATATACTTTTTTGCTAGTGCTCCTAAAAAATAATTAATATATATATTTTCATATTATGCAAAAAGTTAAAGTGATAGCTTAAATGTAAAAAAACATTATTACATACCAGCAGAAGCACCAGCCAGCATATGAGTTAATGGATTATCTTGGTGTACTATTCCTTTCTGTTGAATATATTTAGAAGATTTAACATATACTGCAAAGTAGACTGCTCTGTAAAAGTAACATAAGAGAAATTATTAAACTTAATTACTTAAACCACAAAAATGTTTTATTGACAAGAATTTTTTTTATTATTATTTTATAGCTTTTTTATTATTTTACTTTATTTTGTTGCAATCCAACAACATTAATATTAATTGAATCAATTTGTAAAATTATCAGTATAAAATCAATAACAATAAATACCTAGATGAGTTGCAACAAATACGCAGATGAGTTGCAACAAATACACAGATGAGTTGCAACAAATTGATAGATGACTTGCAACAAATACATAGATGAGTTGGAACAAATACATATATGAATTGCAACAAATACATAGATGAGTTGTAACAAATACATAGATGAGTTGCAACAAAAACATAGATGAGTTGCAACAAATAGATAGATGAGTTGCAAAAAATATGTAGATGAGTTGCAACAAATAGATAGATGACTTGCAACAAATAGATAGATGAGTTGCAACAAATACATATATGAGTTGCAACAAATACATAGATGAGTTGCAACAAATACATAGATGAGTTGTAAAAAATTACCTAGGAGAACAAATGGTTTCTCAATTTCTGATATTGTTGCACAAGTACCATTTAAAAATTTATTAAAAAATACAATCAGATGTTTTGTACAATTACAAAAATAAATGATTTTTTACCACAAAGAACCACTTAATACTAATGAAATTAGTGTAAAGATAATATTTAGTTACGGTTTTGATGGCAGTTCTAGTCATTCAGACTATAAAAAAGAATTAATACTGCTGGGTGATGTTTTGATTCAAATTTTATTGTGATAACTGTTATAACTGTTTTCACTTGCAAGATAATAAGATCTTATGAAACATTTGCATTTCTTTGTCTGGTATTCTAATTTATTTAAGGTTGAATACATAAAGGAATCCAATAAGCACATTAAAAAAAAACACATGATATCTATGGGCAAATAGATAAGTTATAGACTTAAACAACTGTCTAGTAATAAGAAAATTCAAATTAACTTTATTTATGAGGATAACTGATGGCAAAATTTTAATCACATTAACTGAAACAAAATCAAACAAATTGTCCAATATGTTGAGCAACTCTCAATGATTTTGTTAAAGTACAGATATTCAAAAACCGAGAAACATTCAAGCTCAAACCTTATGCTTGAACCTTATACAGTCCAATAGATGGTTAAATAAAATTTTTTGAATGTATTATACACGTCTTACTTAAAAATTGGTATATATAGCAAATTTTTGGTACTTATAACAAAAAAATTTTGTTACATAAAAAAAAAAAGAAATACAAAACTTCTTTTTAAAAACTTCGTGTTGATAACACCTTCATGTTGATAAAGCAAAAGTTGGAAATATTGAAAGTACCAACAATGGCAACAATGCACACCAAGCGTTTAATGTTGAAAAATTTGTTGAAAAAAATTAACTTATGTTAATGAAAGGTTGATAAAAAAATTTAAAACTGTTCTAATATCTTCATCCTACAAGTATCAAATTAATTTAGAAAAATATAAAAATATCTTTTTGATACTGCAAAACATGTTATATCTATACATTCCTAGTATTCAATGCCTGAAAATGTATACAAAGTTTTAGTATATGGTAGAAAAATTCTCTAAAATTTGTTTACCAATATAAAAAGTGATACCTATAGGTTATTTTGGCTAATAGACATTATTCCCAGGCGCCTCCATGTGTCTGGGGATAATGTCTATTAGCCAAAATAACCTTTCGTAGGAGGCGCCTCCATGCGCCTCCTATGAAATTTCTCTGACCCAGACTTACAACTCCAAGCAACTCTGGGGCACTTTATCTTTCAATTCGGTCCATAGATTTTCATTTGGATTGAGGTCAGGGCTATTTCCTGGCCATTTAAGCACTTTAACTTTGTTCTGGATTGGAAACTTGATTGCAAATTTAGTATGGTGTCATGTTTGAGCTTATCTGAAAACAACTCAACATACTTTGGTCCTTTCATAATGGTTCCTGGGATCAAATAGTAAAGACCACCAAGCCTGTTCTTAAACATTGCCTACCAAACTATCTGACTTGGGGGTGTTTTATCACTAATATTGTATATCACTTGCCAGATAGTCTTCTGATGTGACATTTGTTTACTACCAACTGTTGAGGTGTAGGCTCTGCCCAACTGTGCAGTCATCCAATAGCAATGCTTAATGTAAATGCCAGGCGCTTAGCTTATATGACAGGTGTAAGCTTCAGTTTTATAGCCAGTTTTCAAACCAAATTATTTTAATAAGCAAAGAGTAAGTGTAGCTGCAGAGAGTACTCACTTTGTATACTCTCTGTAGCTGTTCAGCCCTGATTTTCTTCATGGAGTTAGTTGAAGACCTGGCAACAGCTCTTTTGATCAAGATGTTGTCATGCTTCGTGCTCTTCCACTCCACTTCCAGTTCATGATTCTAGATTCAAGTACAAATTTTTTGTACTTGATGATTGTGCATATATATATATATATATATATATATATATTATATATATATATATATATATACAGGGCTTGCGATAAAGCGTTGGGCGATGTGAATTTTACGTTGTCCAAGAGCGATTTTGCGTGTAGCTAGGGCTATTTGCGTCGAGCAAAAAATTTTTTGTTTGAGTATATTTAAAGATATTTTTGAGCAGAATTTTAATGAAGTAATTTACGATTATTATAACATTTAATAAAGTATTTAAAAACCGCATGCAGTTGATATAAAAGTTTGAATTAAAAAAAATTAAATATGCTCATTATTTACAAGTAGAAAAAATTCAGATTAAAAAAAAAGTTTAAATCTTTTAAGCTAACATTTAAATAAAATTATTCAGCAATAGCAAAGTTGTCGATAAAATTGAACAAAAATACTTTCTTTTAGTTTTAGATTTTAAACTTAAATAATTATTTTACGGGGGTTTGTTAGGTTTTAAAATTATTCCATAGATTTAAAAATATTTATTAACTGTTAGACGTATTTAAAGTATTTAAGAGTAATTTCGAGGAAACATTTTAAAAATTGGTGAGCGCAATTAAAAAAAAAAAGGATTAATATTAAAACGTATTCTACTTGATTCAATAAAAAAGTACAGTTATTAAAATTTTTGTAAAAAGTAACTCAAAAAAATTACTTAAATAATAACGATCGCTTTTATGTTAAAAGTTACCGAAACTCAACGAAGCGTGCTCAAGAACAGCTGCTGAAAAATAAAACGTCAATAGTTTTTCAAATAATTTTTAATAATATTTTTTAAGAATAATTTTTTGGCTGAAATATTTCTTTCATACCTATAAGATTTTTATTCTAACATTTTATTTTATTTTACTAGAAATAAAATTCCTTGTTAACATTTAAAATCTATTCAAAACGTTCGTTTAAGTTTTTTATGATTCAAGTGATTGTGCTTATCAATCGCTTTATGAAAATAAATAAAAATAAATAAATTTATATTATATAAAATCGCTTGTAGCTATTGCACAGTTTTTAATTGTACAAATTTCCAGCTTATTACTCGCTGACTTTTTAAAAAGAAAAAATAATTATTTGAAAAACTTTAAATTACATATTTGAGAAAAAAAAAAATCAAATATTAGCATATTTTATAATCTTTTTTAAATTTTAGTTATGTTTTTTATTCGTTTAGTATAGACAGAACGTGTCAAACGTCGAGAAAATAAGCAAATGTTTTTACATTTTAAAAAACGAAACATTCCAAAACATTTTTAAATAATAATGTTTCTACATTAATGATTTAAAGTAGTTTTGCAATAATTAAGTAAATTGGTGCAGTTAATATCAAAAAATATGAAAAGCAAATAAAAAGAATTTAACGACGTCAAAAAGCACGTCGTGCAGTTTTTATTCATCACAAGGCCTGTATATATATATATATATATATATATATATATATATATATATATATATATATATATATATATATATATATATATATATATATATATATATATATATATATATATATATAAATATATATATATATATATATATATATATATATACATATATATATATATATATATATATATATATATATATATATATATATATATATATATATATATATATATATATATATATATATAGAATATATAAATGTGAAAAATATTAATGAGATGATTAATGAGAGAATATATAACCCTTTTGTTTTTTAGGAAATTCTAAGAAGACCCTTTTTTGAAGTTTGAAATTGTAATAGATAGATTGAATCATTATAATATCTATGAGGTATATGCATGTTAATGATATCTGTGAGATAAAAATATTACCTGACATGATGTCATGATACCTGACATGATGTCTAGCTATATATAAAGGCAATATATTTATGAAGTTTGTAAAAACAAATTGTTATAAAGCATTTAAAGATACCATTATAAAAATCTATATAAAAAAGTGAACAAAAAAAAGAATTAAATTTTAGAAAAATGTTTATTTTTAAGAAACAAAAATACCTTGCTGGAGCCACACCTATGAGATTAGGTCCCAAGCCTTTATATAAGGATCTGTAACCTTCAGTATTTATTATATGCCTAAATATGAAAAAATATCTGATAAATTTAAAATATAGCAGAGCATTAATAAATAGTAGAAAATCACTTGTAATTTTTTTTATTTTACACTTGCATTTATTTTTATTTTTATGTTTTATTAACAAAGTTTTAAGTAAGCAACTTTTATAGAGAGTAAAAAGTACATGACTATCAACAAGACTCACAACAAAGTGCTGCTACATTGACTGAGGGTTTGGTTTGGGTCAGCATCAAGGTCAGGCTTAGGGTTAGGGTTATGGCAACGTTTAAATATGGTTATATTACTGTAATTAATCCTTTTTGTAATTAGATGGAAAAAAAAAAAGAAACATAATATATAACAAAAATAACAAAAATAAATATAAAAAATATATCTTTATAATAAAATAATAAATTTAAATAGGTATAAACAAAAATAGAAACAAAATGAAAATTAAAAAAATTATATAAATATGATAAAAATAGTAGTAAAAAAGTTAAAAAAAAATATGTTATGGGAATAAAAAAAAACGTGTCGGAACAGGAATGAACTAAAAACCATCTAAAAGTCATCATCAAAAACATCTAAAATTCTGGCCAGAACGGAATTCCAAATATATATACATATACATATACATATATATATATATATATATATATATATATATATATATATATATATATATATATATATATATATATATATATATATATATATATATATATATATATATATATATATGCAGGGATACTCTTGCAATATAGGTTCTCATTATTAATATAATTTCAATTTTTAAATTGACTTAATCCAGACACTAATTCAAAAAAAATAGAAAAAGAATAAAAAAACAAGTTTTAATCTTTAAAATTTAAATCATTTCTGTTTATTAGAAATTTGAACACCAAGATTCAATGTCATTGACTCAATCAGGTTTCTTTTGATTGATTAGTGTTAATCAATGAAATATGGAAACAAATTTAAAAAGTTTGGCGTGTATTAATTAAAATTTTCATTAAATTTAATTCATTGTGTTGCAAGTGTTAAAAAAAGTTTGCTTTCAAACTTTATCAACACTGACATGGTGAATTGCATACTATTGAACTAGTTAATAAACAATTTAACAGTTAGACTTAATAAATAGATTTTCAAAATTTGATAGTTATGACCTAATAAATAGATTGTTAAAAACCTCAAACAAATGAAAGCTATACAAACTATTTAAAAAATTTATTTTTTTAAAAGCCAAAGTTTTGTTTAATACATTTTTTTCTTTTTTAATGACAATTTTGTTATTAAATTTTTAAGCAAATATGAATATGTTTTTTAAGCAAATATATATATATATATATATATATATATATATATATATATATATATATATATATATATATATATATATATATATATATATATATATATATATATATATATATATCTTTTTTAAAGATTAAACAAGCAAACCTGTAGAGCAAAATGGTAAAATATTTCAAAATGAGTTTGATTTCTTAAAAACAATAATTTAAAAAATAATAACAACAAAAAATACTTAAATCATTTATATTTACCTCATACATCCAAGTATGCCATTTGGTTTAATTCGTTGTTCTGGCTGAATTCGTGTAATAGTTGACACACTTGTTATTTGCCTTGTTATTGGTTTAAACACCTCACCTGAAGACTGGTGAAATTTTTAATATTTTTAAGTAAAATAATATTTTGAAAAAGCATTAATATAAAAAACATAAAAACTAAAATAAAATGTATTAATATTAACTATTTCATCATTTTATTATAACCATCATTCAATGATAGTTCATGAATCCATGTTTTATTATTGCTTACTTAAATACATGGCCTTTCATTCTGCATTTTAGCTGAAAAAATAGAAGGCTATTTATATTCACGTTTATATTTTTCATATGTTTATAATTAAATTCACAAAAACATCTAAAATGGATTTATATGAAAACTTTAATAATATGTCTTGTTTATTATAGTAGCTGTTTAACACATAATAAAATACCATAAAATATAAAGAAATTTCTTTTTTGTCCTGATTAAAACAATATTTAAATACAAAAAAATATTTTATAAGAAACAAAACAGAAAAATATTAATAATATAAAAAATTTTATTCCTTATGTTAGTCGTAAATATCTTTCGATTTTTGTTTAATTTCTATATGATGATCAGAAAATGGAAATTAAACAAAGCAAATTGTTATTACAAAGCAAATTGGAACTTGAACAATATCATAAATGAAAACAGAAAAAAAACATGAAACAAGTAAAATGAAACTAATTACAAAATTAATGTTACATAAATTAAAAAATATGTATTAAAAATTATTTCACTCCTTGTTTTTTTAAAAAAATCTAGATTGTCTTTATGAACATCAGTAATAATTTTTTGATGATTGTAAAAGTGTGTTTGAAATGGTGTAATTAACTAGATCTTGACCCATAATTAAGTGGGTGAAACATGAAAATGCTTCATGGTTTATTGCAATATTGAGAATAAGTTTAGCTGCTTTTCTGTCTTGCAGTTTTGAACTATGGATAATATCAAAAACAAAATTGATACACACAAAAGCATGACAAACAAACTAAGAGTAGGTTGAAACGTTAGTAGCATGGTTACCATGGTTATCACATACAATAGATCCTACTCTAAAACCACTCTTATTAAAAATATTTAAGCAGTTCAAAATTTTATCTTTTAACTAATCACTGATAGTTTTGGTGATTAGCAAGAATGGTACATATGCATTGCATATGTACCATTCTTAAGCATGCATTATAATGCATGGTACATTTCCTTTTAACCATATTATCATAAAACATATAACACTTCAATAAAGTTAATTCTTATCATTGGTGCCAATAAATTCTCCTCCACAATACTCTGCACACTTTTGTAAGTTTCATCAAATAAAATAATAATTTAACAATAAACTTTTATTTTCCATCAATAATTTTACAACTTTTATTAAATTAATTTTACTTTCTTTAAACTTGTTTAAAAGAGAAACAAGTGAAGGGAAATATTTCCAGAAGAAATTTATAAAATTGAAGTGATATATAACATAGCAGCAAAGCATATTGGATAATATTAGCAGGATAAACTTGCCTTTTTTGAAATTGATGTTTGATCTAAAAAACCAAAATTTTTGGCTTGTCTTTTAAAGTATGAAGGAAGGTTTTCAAACATGCTTATTTTACTAAGTTTACAATATTTCCCATGAACCACTGGGGGAAAGATACAGGAAAACCCTTTATAAAACCATTTTCACAAGTTTTCATCAATCTTCTGAACCTCTGGCGCGGTGTTCGCTCACCCGTAAGTTACTTTATGTTTATATTTTTTATGTTTTTTTATGTATGTTTGTGTTCTGTCTGAACCTCTGGCGCGGTGTTCGCTCACCCGTAAGTTACTTAATATTTTTTATGTATGTTTGTGTTCTGTCTGAACCTCTGGCATGGTGTTGACTCACCCGTAAGTTGATTTATGTTTGTTTGTGTTCTGTTTATACTCTAATGCAGCGTGAGCTCAGTAACTAACTACTTACTCCAACTACAAAACCTACACTCACCTTAGACTCCTGTATTTTGTTAGATGCAGTGTTTTTCCTAATGCACTTCCAAAATGTCATGTCTGGTTTTCTCAAAGTACTGTTGCGGGAAGTAACTCTTTTTAACTACTCCAGGTCAGGTCAGGATAATCGAGATCAATCTTGCTACTGGTATCATGTAACCCAGTAACACCCTCCCACAAGCCCTGCTGCCTTGCAGAGTGTGCTCTTCTTATGCAAAGGCTAGGAGAAATAAACTCCGACTAAAAATTCCCCTGCCTTGGGGCTCTTGGTTGAGTAAAGACTAGAGATGGTGTCTCAATAAAAACACTCATCTTGGGCAGATGTTAACTGCATCCAGCTAAACATCCCCTGCCTTGGGGTTTTTGGTTGAGTAAAGGCTAGAGATGGTGTCTCAATAAAAACACTCATCTTGGGCAGATGTTAACTGCATCCAGCTAAACATCCCCTGCCTTGGGGTTTTTGGTTGAGTAAAGGCTAGAGATGGTGTCTCGATAAAAATACTCATCTTGGGCAGATGTTAACTGCTACCAGCTACTGTCTTGTAGAAGGCCTCCTAGGCAAAGACTTTAGGGGTAAGCAGAAAAATTCTGCTAACCAGCCTCGAACCCCTTCTTCATCTATTAGGCTGGCGTAGATGTAACCTGAGTTACATTGTTTCCTGCCTAGGATGATGAATGCTGGATCTCCTTGACTCTACTCATAGAAATTTGCTCATGCCTCCTTGATAATGGGTATGCAACTCTTCCTGTTATCTCCATATGAGGGTACAGCTCTAAAACTCAGTTTAATGGTTCTGAGGCCGGCTGGTAGTAAGGATTCCCGAACTCTGTGGTAGCTCTCAGAGAGGCTGATTCCATCAACAGCTGCAAAATATCAGAGTATTAACACTGCCATGTTGCGCATGGATGGTGTCCCTGTTAATGCTTTTGGTGTGCATTGTCAAGGCCACATAAGGAGCCCTATGTCACGGGTTAATTAACAGGACTGAGACAACTGCATAGCTCATTGATTAGGAGGCTGTGCTCTATCTATGAATGAGTCAAGTTCTCATTAAACCCAAATCATGACCAAAGTAACCAAAAATTTAAAACCTAAAAAACCATCCCCACCACCTAAATATTTTAATATATCTTTTACAAATATTCGCGGTCTACGAAGCAACTTTCCATCAGTTGAGTCTTACCTCCTGCAAAATTCACCAGACTTGCTTGCAGTCAGTGAAACAAATTTAAATTCTGCAATTCCTTCTTCAGATGTCAGTGTTGATGGGTACTATCCTTTGATTCGTAAAGACTCGAATAGTCACATGCTAGGTTTAGGGGTATACATACGCATTAATTCCCCTATTTGTCGTGAAATCAGGTTCGAATCCTTTGACCATTCTTTTATGTGCTTTCGCCTAGCACCTCTTCACTCTATCACCTTTCTCTTTGTTCTTTATCGTTCTCCTTCTTCCCATGATTGCACTCTCTTAGATGTTATCTCTGATCAAATTGACCATGCCTTCTCTCTTTACCCCTCTGCCAATATTGTTGTTGTTGGTGATTTTAATGCCCATCACACTGAATGGCTTGGCTCTAACACCACTGATCCTGCTGGCACTAAAGCCTTTAACTTCTGCGTTTCTCAATCTCTTACTCAGATAGTTAACTTTGTGACTCATTTTCCTGACAACCCTAATCATTTACCTTCACTCCTTGACTTATGTCTTGTCTCTGACCCTAGCTTATGTTCAGTTTCTCCCTTTTCTCCCTTAGGTGGTTCTGACCATGCAATGATCTCTATAAATCTTTCTTCTCGTACTTCTTTTTTGGGCTCACCTTATCATCGCACCACCTACTACTACCCTAAAGCTGACTGGGATTCCTTTCGTGATTTTCTTTGTGATGGTCCTTGGGCTGATGTTTTTTCTCTCTCAGCTGACAAATGCACCTCCTACGTAACCTCCTGGATTCAGGCTGGAATGGAAGCTTTTATTCCTTTGCGTCGGTTTCAAATCAAGCCTCATTCTACTCCATGGTTTTCTCCTTCTTGTGTGGCTGCTATATCCAATTGTAATCATTTTTTTCATCTTTTTCAAAAGAACACCTCTCTTGAGAACAAACGGCTATTTATTATTGCAAGAAATCGATGTAAAAAGGTGCTTTCTGATGCTAAACTCCATTATTCTCAGTTCACTAAATCTCGCATCTTATCGCAGAAGTTAGGCTCTAAAGACTTTTGGAAAATCTTCAACAGCATTATTAACAAGGGTAGATCTAACATTCCATCTCTCATTCATGGGACTGATCTTATTACCTCTCCCAAGGATAAGGAAGAACTATTTGCAAAGAACTTTTCTTCTAATTCCACTCTTAAATCTTATGGACATTCTCTTCCTTCCATTCCAGTCAAACAGATTGACCCATTGTTAGACATTCAAATCACTCCGACGTCTGTTGCTAAAGTCATATCTCAATTAAACTCGTCCAGACAACATTCCTGTCACAGTCTTGCAGAATTGTTCTCCAGAACTTTCTTCAATTCTCTTTAAACTATTTAACAAGTGTTTGACTGAGTCTTGTTTTCCTGCTTGTTGGAAAATGGCATCTGTGGTTCCAATATTCAAAAACTCTGGAGAAAATTCTGAGTTTGGCATGCTGGTCTTCTCCATAAGCTTGCTTCATATGGTGTTTCTGGGAAAGTTTTTGAGATTATCAAATCATTTCTTTCTAACCGGTTTATTAAAGTCATCCTTGAAGGCCAACACTCTTCTTTATTTCCAGTAACTTCTGGGGTTCCCCAAGGTTCCATCCTGGGCCCTGTTTTGTTTCTTATCTACATAAACAATCTTCCTGACAACCTTTCATCTAAAGTAGCTCTTTTTGCTGATGGTTCAACTTTATACTCCTGTCTTGACAAAAAGTCTTCTCTTTTCGATCGCCTAGAACAAGCAGCTGATCTTGAATCCGATCTCACTTCAGTAATAGATTGGGGTTCACAGTGGCTTGTGAATTTCAACTCCAAAAAAACCCAGTTGCTTACTGCAAACAACTACCGTAATATGGTCAACATTCCTATATTAATGAATGGCAATCCTCTTACTGAGTCCTCCTCTTTACGTCTTCTTGGATTATCGCTTACTACTGACCTTTCATGGAAACCATATATACAATCGATTGCTAAACTAGCTTCTGCTAAGGTTGCTTCTCTTTATCGTGCTCGCCATTTCCTTACTTCTGATTCCATTCTCTACCTCTACAAATCTCTTATTTGTCCCTGTATGGAATACTGTTGTCATACTTGGGCTGGTTCTTCTAATGATTCACTTTCTCTTCTTGACAAGGTCCAAAAACGCATTGTAAATGTTGTTGGACCTGGACTATCTGCTAAGCTTGAACCTCTTTCCCATTGTCGTAAAGTTGCATCTCTTTCTCTTTTCTACAAATACTATCATGTTCACTACTCAAAGGAGTTATCATCTCTAGTTCCATCAACTAAAGTTTATTCTCGTTTTACTCGTCATTCAGCTAAGTCTCATTCGTTTACAGTATCTGTCCCTGCATGCTCTAAAAACTATTATTCATCTAGTTTTTTTCCCCGCACTTCAATCTTTTGGAACTCTCTCCCATCTTCATGTTTTCCTGACTCATACAACCTTCAACTTTTCAAGTCTTCTGTCAACCGTTTCCTTGCTCTATAACTCTGTTCTTTTTTTTCCTAGTAACTCCCAACTTAATAGTGGTTGCTTGCAGCCTTGTTGGGAGTGAATGCAAATTAAAAAAAAAAATCTTAATACATTCTATAACTTCTGGCAAACAATCATTATTCAAGTTTATAAAAAACAACATAATCATCATATTTGGAGAAGATATATTCTGGAGAGCTGTCTATCTCATTGATTTATAATAAATTTATAATAAAAGAAGAAAAGTTTATTAAAAATGATTGATACTCATTTTCTTGAAATTTTTTTAGCAGATCGTTTTTTTAGCTTCCTGATAGAAAAATTGTAGGAATAAAAATTTTTGGTTAAAAATTGTAAAAGAATAGCTAACGAAACTTGGAGAAATTAACTAGTTTTAAGGTTTTAATCAAACAAAATCTTTATTTTACTTTATTTTACTTCTTATTTTACTTTATTCTTTATAAGTTTATAATGCTTTACACAGATTACAGATGAGGAAGTTGGTTGCAAGTTTTTTCTGCTTACAAATCAAATATTTTTTTTATTTTTTTAGATCTTCACTTGTTGGAAAAGAAAATACAGGAGTCGATTGATTTCCTGAATAAATAGATTGACAACACATTTGTTAACCACATTTTACCAACTGCTTTGCGTATATTGGCCTTCTATTTTTTCAACAAAAATGCACTATGTATTTTAGTCAGGCAATTGATCAATCTTTAATAATAATCATTCCCCATCCTAATCTTACACCCAAAAGTAACTTTTGAAACAGAGTAAAACAATACTTTTGACATATTATATCAAGCTCACTCAAAAAAAAAACAAACTATTTTTTACTTTTTTTATTTATAATAAAATAAATTTTAGTTTATTTTTTTGTTTAACTGCATCAAGTATATTTTATATATTTATATTTCTATTTTTAGACACTTTGAAATTACCTGCAATCTTGTTTTAACAACTTCAAGAGGGCATGTTATAATAGCAGCGCTCGTACCTCCGATTCTAAAAAAAAAATTGAACAACTTTATCATCCAAAAGTTATTAAAGATAATTCTTAAACTTAAAACTTTTTTACTTTAACAACTAAAATAATTTTTGTATAAACTAATATTATAAAATAATGAATGATAATTTTTCTCTTTTAAATAAAAAAACATTTGCAATCTCTTCTTCAAAACATTTTGCTAAAACTATTTTTTGAAGAAAAATTAGTGTAGTATTGATTAGATCATGGAAAATGATATTCCATTTCCAGATATTATATCTGTTTTTACTTGTCTACTGATTGTTTTTCTTCAACTAATTTTCAGTTTATTTCCTTATTATTAACTATTAATAATCTTTTTAGACTCGAAAAAAATTATTTTTGCAATAAGTAGCTTTATCTAGTACAATAAATTTTTTATTTTTTTATTTTAGCTTTGAAGCAAATGATGTCATAAAGACTAGTCAGTAAATAAATATTGTAACTTTGTAAAAAATGATGTCATAGACTTCAGACTTGTCAGCAACTAAATACTGTAATTTTGTGACTCTTAACAACATAACAATTGTGTACCTTTTAACTAATAGATCTTTTTTCATTTGCAAAACCCAGGAAGCCATATAGTTGAGAATATTGCTCATTTTTCTATATATTTATTTTTTTATTTTTATTTATTATTGTAATATATTATATGTCATGATATTGCTAAGTAAAATAAGTTTAAAAAAAAGTGGCAAATTTATCAAAAAAGATAACATAATATAGAGATGTTACGGTTGGAATAAAATGACCCATCACTGCTCATACAGATTTAAAGGATTCCTTATTATGGAGACATGCAAATTTTGTAGACTTGCAAATTGTGGAGCGTAGCATACTTCTAAGGCTTACATACCTCTGAAGGTTACATATAGCGAGTATACTAATTTTTATTAATTCGAAGTCAAATTTTAATTTGTTTCACCAGTTAATTTTTATTAAATTTTTCTTTGAAAGCTGAATCTAAATTTATATATAGACAAATCAAAAAAAATTTACTAAGAACAACAAGGAATATTAATTGCAAAATTGGAAAAAAAATTCTTTATTCAGACTGCCACTATGTGTATCTTATGACTGTGTATTATGCTGTGATATTTAGTATAAATCACAGCTTGAGTTAAAATTATTTTAATTTTTAAATATTGTTGTTTAAAGTCTTTAATATTCTCATTTACAGTTTAACTATGTTCTTTTTGAAAAAAATAGGTATTTTTCATAATCCAAGATAGACTACTTCCACCCCCTTATTACAGGCTTCCTACTATTAAAACTGAGGCTAAAAGTAAGGGTTTTAAGGAGATTTAAGGTTATATTTTTCTAATATTTAAGGAGATTTGGTCACGAACGAAAATTTTTTTGAAAGAAAAAATAAGGAGAATTAAAGAGAAAATGATTATTTAAAAAATAGAATCTTATCTTTTTCAATAAACTTTAAATATAAACACAGAAATTAAAATAAATTAATATATTACTTTAAATTATTATAAATTAATATATTTACTTAATAAAAATATAGATTAGTAAACTATTAAAAAACTATATATTTTCTTCTTCTTTATTAATAAGTATAATCAATTCACAAATAAAATTTCCAAGATGATTAAAAAAATAAAAAATAAGGTGAAATTAATGAGTGCAGTCAAATTTTAACTTTATTTAAGGTTATTTAAGGACATTTAAGAAGGTTTTATTAGGGATATTTAAGGTTTTTAAGGAGTAGAGGAACTCTGTATTATTAAAATATAAATATTTAATATATAATAATATATAACCCAGGTCACTGATTCCCTGATTCTCTGATTCACTGATTCCATAACGCTGTAATTTCTAATTTGCGGTAAATTATAATAACAAAAGCAAATTGTTTAGACAATAGTTTTGAACAATTGTTTTGACACATACCCTTAGTAATTAAGCAATAATTTTAGACATTTTGAAATAAAAGTTGAAACATTTTATCATCAGTTTAAAAATTTAACTTCATGAAGCAAATAATTATTTATTTAATTACAAATATATAATAAAACATATATTTGAATGATTTCAAATGACTATAATGATTCATTTGAACTATTCAGCTATTATATTATTGATATCATAATAAAATTTATTTTGTTAATAGTTGCTAGGCGCCAAAGGCACTCCTGAATTAAATATTTATTAAGTATGCATAATATATTTTAGCCTGGGCCATTTTTCTTCATAGTGAAATTTTTTGACAGAAACTTTAATTTCTTCATTAGAAGAGGATTTTAAAGTTGGAGGCACAGAGTTAGCGGATTCTTTGTATGATGCTTTGGTTCATCAAACTAATTTCTTCCAAGCATTCTTTCTCTCCTGGAGATGTTGGAATTTGTCTTCACTCTTGGCCTTCTCCACATTCTGCTGGATAAGCTTGACAATCTGCTCAGAGCAATCATTAACAACATCAATGGAGTTTATAAATAAAACTTAAATTATCTAGGAAACTTATACTAAAACTGACACAGTAATTTCATCTAAATACACTGATCCATGGTAAGGCCTAGAATATTGAACAGAGTCCAACTCTCCTTCATGATAAAACTGGTTAATGAGGGAGGCATCTCAGCCATTTCTCTATCTCTATTGAGTGGCTTTCATTCTGAGAAAAACAGAACCTTAGCCATCTCCTCCATCTGCAAAAAGATATTACTGTCCTTGGAAACCAAGACCATTACTACTGAGAAAGGATCTAGATACAAAATGTGGTTTCTCCATGACTTCAGTACTGACTCAGCAGCAGTGGTTCAATCTGGGCATAGTGGCACATTTGCTGAACTGATCCTAAACAAAATTAATTAGAATATTGTTTTTACCTCAAACCAAGCTTGCACAGTACAAACATATATACAAAACACTTTCATTATTTCTAATACTATACTTGAAAAATGAACATTGCATACTGCACAATGAAATCTCACCATTATCTTTTTATTATATTACAAGATATACTTATATTAAAGTTAAACTGAATATAAAGTTATATTGTAATTTAAAAAAATAAGATTATTTATTTTCTTTTTAAAAAGTTTAATTTTTATTTCATTTTAATCAAGCTTTAAAAGAACTAGAAATAACTTTATAGGAACAATAACTTAAAAAGTTTAAAACTAAAAACTTTAAAATTATATTTCAAGGAATGTTTAAAGTAACTTGTTATTTTTTAATTATAAAAATATTCCAAGATTCTTTTTATAAAGTGTTATAAAAATATGAAACGTTCCCAGATACTTTTTATAATAGAGATCTTATAAAGTGTTATCAGGAAACTCATGAGTAAGGAACCAGGAAGTGTAGAAGATGGCAATAAAGTCTGCCCTTCTCATGATCTCTTTGATAAGATCATCACTGATCTCAATATCATGTTGGATCTTGGGAAAAAGGTGCTGAAACTATAGGTAATAGAGGGCATTTCCCCATGAACCTAGCATGTGATATGGCTCCAAGCAGAGTAGTTGGTTTTCTGGTCTAACTGTTCTGTTGCCAGCAACTTTGGAATTGAAGCGGGATATGAGGACTTTTCCAACATGGTGTCTGCATCCCAACATAAGCAATATTCAGTCATAAAAGTAAGCTAACCTCATGCACGCCCCTTTGAGGCATTTTGAAATGAAAGGTGAAACAGTTGATAGATACAATTAAATACTGAAAAGGAGGTTTATATATAAATTGTTCCATTTTTAGAATTGATTGATGATTTATGAGGTCCTAACAGTTTATCTTATATTTTAATATATAAATTTGGACCTAGTTTACTATTCCCGCTAAATATATAAAATTTCATAAAATAAGGGAACTTTAAACTTTAAAACCATCCCGCCATTGGTTTTAAAGTTGTTTAAGTCTCTAACTAATTTTTTGTGTGGCTTTTTTAAAATTTAAAATATATCATTAAAAAATTTCAAAGAGTCTCTAACAAATTATGCCACGCAGTATATGACCATTTTTGACTCCTCTCCCCTCCTTATCACAACAACTTTTTAGTAAAAAAGTTTGTATGAGTTGTCAGAAAATCACTAACAGGTTATAGGGTGGGAGCAGAAATGCTCGCTTCCTATGACCTTAAGTTCTATTAATTTTTTGAGACTTCAGATTTAAAGATGAAAAAAGATTCATTGGACTGGATAATTAGAATTATTGATAATGAAATTCTAAATAAGAAAGAAACTCAAGAAAACTATACATAATGGCCACACACAACTGAATTATAAATAAATTTTAATTATACTATTCTTAAATAAACTTCACTACTATATTTGAATTATAAGAAGAGTTTTGTTTCAAGTATTTTGCATTTCTTATCTAGCAAGGATTGCATATAACATTTAATGTAGCTGAAACTGCCCAAGAATTGCACGTAACATTTAGTGTAGCTGAAACAAATGCTTTGTGAATAGTCAGCAACCATTTGTAAAATTGTAAAGGAATAATTTGCTGAGATGCAAAACACTGGTAACTGTGAGGTGCTATTTTACAAGGTAGTAGGTTCAAAAACATAGTTAAAGAAATTGTTTTGAATATTTGTAAACTGTTAAAACAAAATGACTTCACAAGTTTCATATTATCATCATTTAAAAGTTGATTTAAACAGAAGAAAATTAAAAAATTTCATATTAATATTATGTTCAATGTAACTTGCTACATTTTTTAAATATGTATATGTTAAAAGTTTATAATTTATCCCTTTTCTAAAATGAACTTTTTGTGTAAGAGAATGTGTGTTAATTTGTTTGCTTTTTTGAACATCAGGAATCTTTTTTAGACTTTTTACAGTTTTTTTTTGTGATTTCTTTAAGAAGTTATTTATTGGTTTTCTAGCTTGCTATTTAATCTCTTAATATTGCAAACTCGAAGACAAAAATGTCAATAGTATTAATAAAAAATAACTTGACCAAGTTAAAACATGCTGTTATAAGTTGCTTTTGAATTTTATCACAATATATTTTTATTAAAT